AACAAAATTGGACCAAGTATCGACCCCTGGGGGACACCACTGGTTACAGGCCTCCAACTAGACTTCGTGCCACTGATCACAACCCTCTGAGTCCTGTCACACAGCCAGCTCTCAATCCACCTCACTGTCACCTCATCTAACCCACACTTCCTCAGCTTCCTAATGAGGATGTTATGGGAGACAGTGTCAAAAGCCTTGCTAAAGTCAAGGTAGATGACATCTACGGCTCTCCCCGCATCCAGCCAACCAGTTACATCCTCATAGAAGGCCATCAAATTGGTCAAACATGATTTACCCTTGGTAAATCCGTGTTGACCACTTCCAATAACTTCCCGTTCCTCAGTGTGTTTGGAGAGGACATCCAGAATGAGTCGCTCCATTACCTTCCCAAGGACTGATGTGAGACTAACCGGTCTGTAGTTCCTTGGGTCCTCCTTCTTGCCCTTTTTGAAGATTGGAGAGATGTCGGCCTTTCTCCAGTCCTCAGGAGTCCTCCCTCCAGTCCGTAACCCCTCTTTATTTTGCAAAGTGTGGCCCCAGACTTGCTTTTCCAGCCTGGTGCTGCCCAAATTTGGCCAAGGGGGCAGGAGTTGGCTGCTGTCGGCAGCAGCATGCTGGGAACCTTATTTCGAGCCTCAGGTTAATTATTAGTATAACTGTCGCTTTTGGACCTGAGAGCGGGTTTTTCCTGTTGGAAACCTTATTTGAAGCCTCTGGTTATTTTTTATTTTTTTCCTTATTAGTTTAGCTGTTGCTTTTGGCCCAGCGAGCAGTTCTTTCATTTCAGTGGGTAAAGTGGCATTGAATTGCAAGGAAGATGCTAACTCTGGGGCTGCAAATAGGGTGGGCACATCAAATTTCCCTTTTATGGTGCCTGATTGTAGTAACTCTGAGTTTTATGGTCAGAGAGAGCCTGGCCGTGGCGTGGGAGCAGTACAGCTGCCTCTGCTCCTCTCTCCTGGAGACGTGCGTCTGATCAGGCAATGAGGATGGGGAAGTTTCAAGCTGCTGCTTCGCTCTCAGGGCAATGGGGTTGATGGTCAGTGGATAACTGAACTGGGTACGGACCTGCCTGCTCCACCCTGTGAGTGTGCCTTGGTTGGGAGCCCCAGGTGAACCCCTTTGCTCTCCCCAAGTGGTGTTCAGGGAGGGATGTTCAGGTGTTCAGCCTGTATGAATGGGAGTGATCTGGAGGCGTGTTCTGCATCCTGCACCTCCCAAAACGAGCACATTCAGGCCACGTCTGGATTGTGGTTCCTCGGAGCAGGGCAGCAGCGTTCCCTGCCCCAGAACAGCCTAGGTTTGCTCCCTGACTGTGATGTGAACACCTATTCCTGTCTCTGCCTTCTTCCTGACCCTCCAACCACCTGGTTGGTGGCCCTGTGTCAACTTGTGAGTATCTGAGATGAAATCAGTGATGTGGGTCAGTGGGAATGCAGTTGTGGGCGCTGGGAGCATCCGGGGAGGTGCAGATGGGCTGAGGCATTGTCCACATCCTGTGCTCCCCCAAAAAACCGCCTGTGTTCCCCTGTTGGGGAGCAGATTCCTGCCATGCTTCAGGGCAAATGTGTCTTTATTTTTGGATGGGGGCTGGACTAGGAGAAGGTTTGCACATGAGAACTGAGAGGCTGCAAGGTGTCTGCTGTGGTCCCTGGGTGGAGCTGTTCAGGTCCTGGCCTCAAACTCTCCAGCCAACACTGGGTTTGTGTTTGCTGATAGCTTTATCTGTTCTTATTCCAGGTGACCAGCCCCTCCGGAGAGGGGACGGATGCTGTAGTCATCCTGGAAAAGACTCCTTTCCAGGAGGAGAAAGTATTGGATCTGCTGAAGAAGCACACGAAGCTGGAGCTGCAGATGCGCAATGACATTTACAGCACGTACCACCTCTATCCTCCCCCGGAGCTGAGTGGTGAGTGCTCTCGGTCTTGCACTGGGGGGCTCCTGGGAGGGTGCCTCACTCCGTGGCTCGGCTGCGGACCGGCGGTTGTGGCTGGGATGCTGGTCAATGTGCTCCTGGCTCCTCTGCCGGAGGATGAAGCAAGACAGATAAGTGCTGCTGCCGGACCTGACTGTACCACGCTGGTTGTGGTTTGGCTGACAGCAGTAGACCAGGTAGAGGTGGGGAGATTGGTGGATCGTTGCTGCTCTGAAGGCAACATCTTAACTCTGGAGGCTTTGGACACTGCCATGTTTCTCTCCCGTTTCCCCACACTGTCGGACACGTAGTTCAGCTGATGAGCCCATTAAATGGCCATGGCTTGATTATTTGCAGTTATCTGTCTGAGCCTTGATTTAAAGGTGAAGAAAGGCTTGGGCATGTGAAAGCTTTCCTTGTGTGTTTTGTGGTTTTTTTTTTTGTTTTTTTCCCCCAGTGATTTCGGTTAATCTGGTGAGATACTGTCTCTCCCCATAACGCTTATCTTGAAAACAATCTCTGCAGAGCACGTGTCTGCTTCTTGTTCCATTTCACGTGCTTTATTTTTTTTGCCCAATGTTGTGTGGTAAGGACAGACAGCTACCACGTTTGCAAGGGAGATTTAAATCCTGGTAACCTCGTGTGCCTCGTGCGGGGAAGCACCTGGCCTCTCCCTGCTGATTTCACTCAGCTATGTGTTACGAAGCCTGATTAATAACCGCGTATGACGAGGTGAGATGAGCGGGTTGGAGAGCTCTAGTAGAAGGCTGTCATTCTGCGAGACGGATTCTTGTCACGGTGGAAAGGCATGCTGGGATTGCGGTGCTCTGCAGCCGCCGCTGGAAAGTGGGGCTGCTCTTTTGGCAGGCCAGGCACTTCAATTTAATGGTGGTATGTGTTTAAATTCTGGATGTGCAGTGATTAATTACATGTTGATGCTTCCATAAACACAATGACAGCCAAACAGGTTTAACAGTCAAAATTAATCAGAGTGATAGCCTTAAGTAATAAGTTGTTATGGTCCTGAATTAAATTTTTGGGATGTTTGATGTGCCTTCCCGAAAATGTTGCTATTTTAATGCTGTTTCTGTGGTGTAGGAGGAAGCACTGTCTGGCTTTGGGAGCTTGGGTTGTGCAAAACTCCTACTGAGGACTTGAAGTCAGAGGTGTCAGCATTACAAAGCCGTGCTCCGGTGGCAGGAAAACACCGCAACACCATGCCTGTCGCACTTGCCCTGCGTGGGAAGACGTTAAAGCTACACTTTGGCTGCAAAGGCTCCTGCTTGTGTGCCCGCTGCCTTCGAGGCCGGCA